CCCCTCCAGCTACATGCAGTGAAAGCATCTTTTATCCTGGACCACTCCCGACAGCGGAGCCCCTCCACTCCAGCTACATGCAGTGAAAGCATCTTTTATCCTGGACCACTCCCGACAGCGGAGCCCCTCCAGCTACATGCAGTCAGGGCATGCTCCACCCTGGTTCACTCCCTAAAGCGGAACTCCTCCACGCTCTGTGCAGTGAGCACATCCTGCACCCTGGGCCACTCCCAACAGCCGAGCGCCTGTGCTGCCCCCCTGCCTCATCTCAAGACTCTCTCCAAGTCTTTCTTCATTCTTACGTGAATGCTCTAGTTTAAAATGCACTAGAACAGGTTACAGGTTAGAGTGATAGCACATTGGTAAGTCTATGCGGCTGCCATGCACACCAGCAGAGGAGTGAGGATGGCATAGGGCCAGGCTTCTGGGGAGTAAGAACTGACAGAGTGGCACCAACAGCTCAGCTGAAGGTTGACCAGAAGCCATTACTCTAAGCAGGAAATACTAAAAACAAGAGATCAGCTGGCCCAGTGAATAGAAATGATGCTACCAAGACAAAGGTGGGTGACTTTTAATCCGCAGCCCTTGGGCCTGTCTTTTCATTGTTTTTGTTCACTCATTCCTCTAGGTCGTATAGCCCTGGTTGCCATACCACGGTCACTTTTGGTTGCTGTGAGGCTGAACACTGTGACACTCATGTGCCAAATGCATTAATGGTTGGCTACCCAATGCAGACAGAGAGTGGGGTGGAGCTCCCCAATTAAAACAAGCATGGAAGGAGGAGTGGCATCCACTTCCATAACAGCTTGCCTCTGGAAACCCTATGAACCTGGAGAGAGGATGAAAGGCACCCAAGCCTATGAAGGACTCTCCTTCATAGGGTCGCTATGAGTCGCCTGCGACTCGACGGTGCTTAAAAACAACAACATATGTTTCTGGGGTGGGGAACAGAGGGGTGAGGATGAGTAGGGGGAAATCACTGGGTCACACAATTTGGTGGGTGGAGGGAAGGGGTAAAGAAAACGGGAAAAATATGGCAGGGACCGGTAAAGACAGGGTAATGGTGGGCATAGTCCAATGTTGATTAATTTTATAAAACACAATGCATAGGAATGATCGTACAAAACATAGAGTCAGTGAAGGAAAGTGTGAAACACAAAGACAAAATGAAAGAAAAAAAAGGTATTTGAGAGGAATGTGAAATCAAAAGTACAAAAAATTCTAAATCCCTGTTTCTTATGCATTCTGACCTTTGTTGAATTTGGGAGTGAATTTTGAAATTAAAAAAAAAAATTAGAAACTGATTAGTTTCACTTATGTTAAGGAAGGCCAAAGTCTTGCTCAAATGACGAGTTTATTTGTAGGGCCATGAGCGCACCTGTAATTTGTGTGAGACTTAACAAGAAGCGCCTTGGGGTCCGCAAGGCCTATTTTAATCTCTTTTTTTCTTTTTATGTGGGAAACCAGAGAATTCATAATTCACTTTTTTTGCAGTGGTCCAGGATGAAACCTGAAATATCTGAGAATGCCTGTATATATGTGTCATATGCGCTTTCATAGTAACCAATTTTTTCCAACCTGGACGACTCTGATACCAGGAGATATTACTTGGCTTTTGGTTGTTGGCACTGTGTAGAGAAATTATTGGCATCAAGTTGATGCCAGGGCTGCTGCTCTACAATACAGGACACTCCTCACAAAGACTCGTCTGGACTCAAAATGTCAGCCCGAAGGTGGAAAACCCTTGTCATAAAGTGTGCACTGAAAGAGATAAGATATAGGTACAGGAAATCAAAAGACGAAATGGAAAAAAAAAAAGAGGAAAGGGAAAATCTGCTGCCGTGGACCTCTCCAGAGTGCTGAAGAACAACGATGTCAGTCGTTAGATACAAAGGTGCACCTAATCCAGGCCATGCAATTACTTGCATTACTTCAGAGAACTGGACAATGACTAAGGATGACAGAAGAAGAATAGATGCCTTTGAGTTGTGGTGCTGGAGAAGAGTCTTGAACAAACCATGGACTGCCAAGAAAACAAATATGTCTGTCTTAGAGAGGGTGAAACCAAGTCTCTCTTTGGAAGCTAGGATTTTGAAGCTCTATCTCACTCACTTTGGGCACGTAGCCAGGAGAGATGGGTCCCTGGAGAAGGACATCATGCTCAGAAGGGGGGACAGACAGCGCAGGAGAGGGAGACCACGGTGAGATGTGACTGGGGCAATGGGGGTTGGCAAGCCAGAATTAATGAGACTGGCTCAGGACAGGGCAGGCTTCAGAGCTGCTGTACTTCACAGCTCGCTATACCTCACAGGCGACTCAATGGCACATAACAACAATAATATACTGTGACAGGTTTGGGAGCAGGAGTGGCATCCACTTCCTAAACAACATGCCTCCGTAAACTCTATATGAACTTTGATAAAGGTCGATAGTTGTAGAGGAGCTTCAGGCTTTTTATTCATAGGGTCGCTATGAGTTGTGCGCCACTCGGAGGCAATAACAACATAGGTATAAACATATCCTGTGGTCAGTTCCTGCATCATTACATACACACATCCATGACAGGCTGAGACACAGCTCGGATATCGTCGTAACACAGTCCGTACTAGTACTTAGTCCTGTACTAAGCATCCTGTCATATCCGAACCACAGTTCGCTCAGTCTGACTTACTGCAAAAGAATGCTGCAGAGCCCATGTCTCTAGTCGCATTTTATCTCACCGTCAATCCCTCCTATGAGGCTCTCTTAAGTTTATGCAATGTCTAGTTCAAGGTCGGTCCATAAGGGCAGGGGTTGTGCGTTGATCTCATTCCTGGACGCGAATCCTGGCTCTGCTCACGAGCAGTACCAGAAGTGAGGCAAAGGTCTCCAGCATGCGCGCTTCACCCTCCCACCGCCCGCGGCCACAGGGAGGTGCCGGCCGATGCCCCCGCCGTGGTCCTCTACGTAAAGCCGAGCTGCCCAGAGCTAGCCTGAAGTCTCACACGTGCCAAAGGGCAGCAGAGCGCGAGGACACTCGGTGACCTCGCAGGGAGAGAAGAACCCGGGGCTGGGCGCACACCCACCGCTAGTCCTCGCGGCCCCCAGTGACCGGAACCAGAGTCAGCCTCACCTCTGCTCTGCAGTCGCTGCCAATTACTGTCCCGCAAACGCTGCCGGTCACGTGCCGACGCCCCGCCCACCAGCAGCCCCGCCCACTCGCGCGCGTGTCACGTGCTCATCGCCCCCACCCACCCGCAGCCCCGCCCACTCAGTACGCCGGTCACGTGTCCGCCGCCCCACCCAATCGGCATGCGCGTGCGTGACCCCAGGGGTTAGCGACGGCGGCCGGGAGGCGGAAGTGGCCCAGGTCGAGGCTCCGAGAGGCGCAGGGAGCTGCTGCTGCTGAGGCGGCGGCCCTGAGGCGGTGGCGGCGCTGCCGGCCCTGGGCTGCTCGGCCCCTCGGCTCGCCTCTCAGCGCCGCCTGCGCCCGCCGGGGCCCGCGCCGGCCAGCACCTGCCCTATGAGTGTGTCACTGGTTGTCATCCGACTGGAGCTCGCGGAACACTCGCCCTTCCCCGCCGGCTTCGGCTTCAGCGCCGCCGGTGAGTCCCTGTCCCGCTCGGCAGCCCCGGGGCCCGAGGGTCTCCCTCCCAAAGCGGCGGCCCAGGCAAAGGCTGCGGCGCCGGCTGTCGTGTCCCGAAGGGTCCTCTCGTGCCCCCACCACGGCAGGAGCGGGTCTCGGGGTCCCGCGGGCCCCCCTGGAGGACGGTGCTCCGAGCTGAGGGGGTGCTGCTCGCTGCTCTTGGTAACTTAGAGGAGCGAGGCGGGAGGGACCCCGTCGGGCCTGCAGAAGCGGGGTGCCGGCCGGAAGCGGCCTCGCGGGCTTTCTCCGGGGGGACGCAGTGCGCGGGTGCCCGTTACGGAGCGGGGACCCTGCGGGAGCCCAGGGGTGCTGACCGCCAGCCACACGGCTCCCCAGGCCTGTCCTCGGTCCACTGAGCTTGCAGCGGGCGGGCGCCGGGCCTTTGGATGTGACCGTCGCACGGGGTCCCTGCTGCAATGGCGGCAGCAGTTCTGGGGGGCGAGGGGAGAGAGAGGAGAATGGGAAGTTGGCAGAAGTCGAGTCACAGCTGGCATGCGCTCTGGGGAGAAATTTGGAAGACTTGGGAGGGTGACAGGTGAGGGACAGGCTGGACAGGCTGCAGAGTGAAGGTGGAATCCCATTGGATGGATCTCCAGGTTCTAAAGGTCAGGTAAGTGGTCAGCAGCCTCCCTGGGGGTCAGGCTTGGAGCAGCAGAGAGGAAGGAAAGGCAGGCGGGGAGGGGACCCCTGAGAGCAGACAGGCAGGCAGTCAGGTATTAATTATTCACGTGTCCTCCAGCTGGGGAAATGTCTGATGAGGAGATGAAGAAGACGACGCTGGGCTCCGCCGGAGCTTGCTTGGAAGGGAAGTCCCCAGAGGAGAAAGCCGCCGTCATCCATCAGCATCTCGGCCGTCGAGAAATGACGGATGTGATCATTGAGACCATCAAGTCGGGCCCAGGTATGTTTTCCCAGACCCTGCACTGTGTGGTCTCACAGGTGAACCCCTGGTTTGGAACATGTTCAGTGAGCTACGATCCTAGCCTCCAACACCCATTCATTTCACACTGTCTCTGCCCCACGCGACATTGTCAAGCCACATTTCACTTTTCCTGTTATTTTTTTTCTCATTTCTCCTGACAAGTGGGGTTGTGATTCTGTGTGGTAGATAAGAAACACTTAGCACAGGTCACTGGCAGATCCTGAAGTGACTCTGGAAAGGCATGCTGTCCCTCCCCCATCCTTCCAGCTTTTCCATCCGGGGGAGTGATGGGTACTGCACTTCCGCACGGGGGTGGGGAGAACTGGTAGGTTTAGTTTTAGACCGATTCACCCTGAGTGTGTGTCTCCTGTAAGAGCACTAGAGGAAGGCAACAATACGGTTAAGGTACTGCCAGATTGAGAAGTGAAGAGCCGTCGTTTAGTTTCTGAGAGTTACTGAGCTTTTTACAGGGCAAAGAGAGATTTCTATTTGAGATGCCTTCCTCTCCCCTCAAAAAAAACCCCAACCCAAATCAACTCAACTACCTGGGAATAGTGCAATACATTATGATTTCTTTGTTATGCTATTTCTTCCTGCTTTGACATTTTGATCTGCTTGGTATCCTTGCTTATATACCCCATCAGTTTATAATCTGTATTTTTTTATTTGTGAAAGGTGAAGTAAAGGCTGTAGCGGAAGAAGAAAAGTCTTCTGAAGCTTCCCCCACTGCACCGAGAGATAGAGACAAGAGTAAAGAAGGCGTCAGCACTGCTCCCGATTCACCCTCCAAACAGCTTCCAGACCAGATTTCATTCTTCAGCGGGAACCCTTCAGTTGAGATAGTTCATGGGATTATGCATCTGTACAAGACAAAGTAAGGAAAAGCTTGATTTTCTTTCTGAGTTGATCTGTTGTTTACCAGAGGGCAGGGAAAAAAGTCTCCTGCCCTGAGAGGAAGTGAATATTTTAACCTTCAAAAAGATGTTCTTTCTTGTGTTGAAAATTCTCTATTCTTGCATGTTGTTTTTTTTTTTTTTAAATTATTATTTTGTGTGTGTGTGTGTGTGTGTACACCGTCAAATCGGATCTGACTGGTACAGGAGGAGATTGTCCCTCCTTTCCCGGCAGAGTTCTTGCATGTTTTGTATCTCATTACTGTTATACCTTGGGCAAAAGCTTCCCCTTTTGAAAGAAATGTGTAGCTACACCAAAGAAAATACACAAGAAAACATTCCTTTGGGTGGTGGGCATGGATGTGGTTAGAGAATTGAAGATCGAAAAAGAACGACTATAGTTGATCTGCAGGGAGCACTGGTGGCTTAGTGGTAAGAAGCTGTGGGCAGTCCCAAAGGTACATAGTTTGAATCCACCAGCTACTCCACCAAACTTCTGTGTGATGAAATTGCCTCTGAAAATATGCTGGTGGGTCAGTTCCAACTCAACAGGACTCAGCAACAACATAAATGATCTGTAGAGTCATATTCTCACCAGATCTCTGTTAGAGAAGTTACAGACAAATTGGTTAACTGGTTACAGTTAAATTACCTTTTTACATCTTCCTATGGTCCAGCATCAGTGGCTGGAGTCACAAGCAAGGAAGTGATTGGCTGGAAACCTAGCCATCAGTACTTTGGAGAATTGGCAACCAGTCTCTTAAGAGTCACTTCCTGCCCAGGCTTATTGTGTAAGTCCCCACTGGGGGAGTCCATGACTGCTCAGGTAGCAATCTTGATGCCATAGCTGTTGAGGTGAGAGGGTTTTCTGTCCACCATTGCAGTCAGCCAATCCTTTGAGTATCTTCATAGGTATGGCCTGCTGGGTCAGCTCTCTTTCCTGTATCTTGAACTTATGGCTGGACCCTCTGAGGAAAGTCCATAGCTAACGCTATGCCTCCTATTACTAGTCAGAACGACTGAGAGTGGTAGAAGCCACAACTTTTTGTCATAATTTTACTACAGTCTTTAAGAAAACTGAATGAAAAACCAGTTAGCATTTTCCTAATGCTAGTATGTTACTATCAGAAGTCTTATAAATTGAAGAATAAAGATTTTAGTGAGGAGAAAGGAACTAATGTAGGACATTTTAAAGCTCAGTACAAACTCTGTTATAGTTTCTAGCTTGTATTTTTGAGTAAAACAGCATGTTATTTTGTTGCTCTGTGAATTTTTATACATTTTTCTCCTATTGTTGAATCAGTGTTTCCTGAACTAGCCATACCTCGTATATTCAAGACACTCTAATTATTGTCTTACCAGTAAAATGACCTCCTTAAAAGAAGACGTGAGGCGCAGTGCCATGCTGTGTATTCTCACAGTCCCTGCCACAATGACCAGTCACGACCTGATGAAGTTTGTCGCCCCATTTAATGAAGTTATTGAACAAATGAAAATCATCAGAGACTCCACTCCAAACCAGTACATGGTGCTGATGAAATTTAGTGCACAGGTAAAAGTTAAGATACGCAAAGTCTCTCTGCCACAGAAAGTGTTTGAGCCTGTGTGATGCTGTGATACAGCTGTGTGTGAGCTACAGTGCTTTGCCTCACTGTCCTGGCCACTGTGGGTCCCCCAGGGCACTAACGCACTGGTGCCGCTCTTGTCAGGTATCATGGAGGCAACGCCAGCAGCCCTGGGGACAGGAGGTCTGCTGTTACACCAGCCTCACATGTTGTACTTGAGGCATTGTTACAGAATCCTTGTGCTGACTCATCTTCCTCAGGACTTTCCTTGCCCTCACCAGCCCTCTGTTTTCCAGGACAATTTCCTCCTCCAGGCAGGTCCCAATTATACCCATGCATTGTTTTCTAAATTGAATTGGGTAGGAAACCCATCTTTTTTGTTTGTTTTATTTTGGTCACTGCTCCAGAAGGGCCATGGTTCCCAAGTTTTTGGAGTTGTCACTGTATTATTTGCCACTGGGTTTTTGTGTACTGGAGGGACTTGGTAATGTTCCTTGAAATATTAAGTATGCTTTAGCGTTCTGATTAGAAATCATGATGGTGGGGAGAAAGAGGTGAAGATGCTTTCAGTTGTCCATGGTGCTTGTGTATCAGAGCAGATCCTACTCAAGTAGACAGTGCTGGTGGCATAGTTTATAGAGCGGTAAGGTGCTAACTCAAAGTCAGTTAGAATCCACCAGCAGCTCCACAGGAGAAAGGTGGGCAGTCTGCTTTTATGCACGTGACAACTTCTGAAAATCTAAGGGACGGTCACTTCCAACTGGGTAGCAATGAGTTTGACTCAAGAAGGAAGATCCTGCCATCCATTCAGTGTAATTTAGGGAACTCTGGTGGCTTAGTGGGAAGGAATTACACTGTCAGTGTGGAGGTGTGTGATTTGAATCTACCTGCTCTAAGAGAAAGGAAGGTGACTCCCATGCAACGGGCGGCCCCTACAAACCCGCTGGAGGGGCTCAACTGTGGGTCACTCCCATGCAGTGATGCACAGCAGTTGATTATTCCCTAGGCAGCGCTTTTCACAGGCCTCAGTTGAAAAGATACTAGAAAGTTACCCTTTGGAGTTTTTTTTTTTTTAATTTTTTTTTTTATTTTTTATTACTTTGTGTGCGTGTACCGTCAAATTAGATCTGACTGGTACAGGAGGATATTGCGCCTCCTTCTCTGGCAGAGCATCTGGTGGATTTGAACCATGTTCCTCTGGGATTGACCCTTTGGAGTTTTTATACTCATTCTTACAAATATATGGAATTTCAAATGAATATAAAAATGCAGCATTTGCAATAATCCCAAGTTACTAAAGAGAATCCCAAGCTTTAGGCTTTATTCCATTTGTAGTTTTTTTCCCAAAGAGCCTACTGACGTGTGTATGTGTGTGTGTAAATTGAAATACCATTAGGCTTTGCAGTGCTGCTGTGTCACAAATTGTTTCTGTCTCACCTCGTTCCAAACAGCCTTCGTGAATCTGTCCCAGGTCAATAATTCCACGCTGCTGATTGACGGAGAATGGGATGTACCATCAGGACCATTAGCCATGGCTTCCATGATTGGTTACTGAGACCTGTGGGTGACACAAGATTACACTGTCCCCTCTGCCTTCTGCTTACGAAATTCCAGAGTCCAGAATCTAGGGCTGCTAATCAGCCCCAGGGCAGAAGTGAAAAGAAGTGGAAGCTCAGATCCTGTTCGGTGGACCCTGCAGAGCACGCCCTCAGTGTGACTCTGTGTGCGCTCTTGATAGGTTTAGACTTTGTAATGGACCTTCACTATGAGGCCCATTCAAAGGGGAACCCCTGAGTCTGGGCTTTAGCTGTCCTGTAGACTTGGACCCCACAGTTGACATAGCACACAGCTGCACTTTCAACACTGCTTTCACTGACTGTCCCAAGGTCATCCCAGGTCATGGAGGAAATCTGCAAATAATGGGCAGGTGATGCCATTAAAATCTAGGAGGACAGTGACAACCACACCTAACCTTTATTTACTGCTTGTGTAGTGAAGTGCTCAGCTGCTCACCCCTGACTTCTCCACTCGAGAAGGATGCTTCCAGCCTTAGGATTTCCAGGCTGTGACTTTTACAGGAATAGACAGCCACAGCTTCCTCCCACAGCTGGTGGGTCGGAGCCACCAGCCTCACAACTGGCAGCACAGCATTTAGCCTCCAGTCCCCCTAGGCCTTGGTCATCCTCAGGGCAGTTCTGCTCTGTGCTGCAGGGTCACCATGCCTTGGAATTGACAGCATGTTTGAAGTCCTGGTGGGCATGGTATCCCACTCAGTGCTAATTCTTCTCATGTATCATCTTATTTCCAACCAGCCCTGTGAGGTAGCCAGTTGTTACCTCAGTTTTACAATGAGTCTGGACTACAGAGAAAGATGAGCTGGGATGTGAGCCCTCATTTTTACTCCTTAGACACTCTAATAGCACCATTTGAGTATCATATTTTTACATATAAGTGTCAACTTAAATAACACACACACACGTGGTGCACACAAAGGAAGTGAGCTCTTGAAGGGGTTATACAAAAACCATCTAACACATGCGTTATGAGCATCAAGATACAGTAATAGTTTTTACTTAGCAAGTTAGATCAAGTGACCCAAGGGCAGTGTATCAGTAATAGCTTGGGGGGAGCGTAATTAAGACCATAGTAGACTTTTAGGAGTGTCTAACGTCTATAAACCACGTCCTTCCCTGTGCCAGATGGCTGTTGTTCCTGACAGGCAGATAATGCTGTGCACCTGCTCTTTTCATTGTGGATGGCTTTTCTTGGTATATGTGATTATATTGTGAATCAGGCATCATCTTTTGACATTCTGAAACTGCTTGCTGCAGTTCTTCGCAGTAGGGATAGAACCTTTGACCTTGGTAGTATGGATAGTATTTTTTTTAATTGCTAATCCTGAATTTTAGGATCTGAGGCCTATTCTGTGAAAAAATTGCTAACATCTAATAACACCCTCCTATGTGGCTGGACAACAGAAGGAGGCTTAGTGGTAAAGAGCTGTGCTGCCGTCCTAAAGGCACACAGCTCAAATCTACCCTCTGCTCTGCGGGAAAAAGATGGTCAAGCTCCGCCTGTGTGATTAACTTCCTCTGAAAACCCACTGCAGGATCAGCTGAGCTGTTTGTTCTGTGACACACACAACATCCTAAGGCTAGGGGTTCTGATAGTGTGGTGATTAACATAGTTTGCGGTATAGAAGTTGAGATTCATCAGGACATACGAAAACGGGGGCTGGGGTGGGTAGGAAGCTGCAGGGCATAAACTACAAAAGCTAAAACCTGAGTAAAGGTGGAGCATGTCAGCTCAAACGTTTTCCCGTAAAATGAGCCATATAAGAACAGTATGAAGGAAAAAACCCAGTATGATTGCATCCTGTCAAAAGTGGAAGGAAGACTTGTGATGCTCAAAAGAGCAAAGCCATCTCATCAACTCTAGCCCTCCCAGCTTTCACTGTACCATACGTTGTTGTTGTTGATTGCCGTCAAATCGAGCACGACTCATAGCGACCGTATGAACAAAAGGCCTGAAGCCTTTGTGTAACTAGCATCATTTATCAGAGTTCATAGTTTGCAGAGGCATATTGTTTAGGAAGTGGATGCCACTCCTGCTTCCAAGTACCGTATTTTTTTTTAGGTGTGTGTTTGTTTTGTTGTGTACTGTCACATCAGACTGGCTCAGGAGGAGATTGCCTCTCCTTCTCCAGCGGAGCATCTGGTGGATTTGAACTTTGGGACTGCAGCGCAGTTTCTTGCCACTAGGCCGCCAGAGCTCCCTCACTGTACCATATTTTTGCATATAATGTGCCATGCAAATAACAAGCAAAGGAGTTGTGTAGTTTGGGGGAGAAACCTTTGTATCTCACATGTATTGTAGCACAAAGAATACAGTAATTTTGGGGGATAAGAAGTGACAGCTGACTTTTCACATCAGTACAGTGACCCATTTTTACTGCCACACCATCAGCAAATAAGGAGACAGCTTCTAAGAAAGAACTTCCCCACCAGAGGTTTTCACTGTGATGCTGAGGGAGTGTGGGTCAGCATGGAGTTTGCTCTGTTGATCCTAAAAAGAGGACCGTGGGGGAAAGAGAAATGGGTGACATTTTACATGAAAGCCTTCATGTAAAATTCAGGGGATGGGGTGGGCGCTGTTAGCTTCAGGATTTTGTAACTTTGTGTAGTTTGGTCCCATTTCTCTTCTTGGCATCATCACCATCATCGTCTGGCACCTTCCTGGATGCCCAGAGGACAGAAGAACTAGTGGTGCTGAAACACCGGTAATGATACTGTTCAAACTGGGAGATCTCCACTCTGTATAAATGTTCTCATTCCAAAAACATGTATGTCTGTGATGTCCATAAAACAGTCCAAGAAGGGACAGTCATGTCTGACGTTGAGGGCACTTCCCACGTGCCGTCTGTCCAGAGCTGTGTGTCTTTTTCTGTGTGGGGCCAGGGCCACTTAGAGAGCATTTGTTAAGCTGGAGGGCCAGGGGAGTTTGGTCTTTACTCAGCCGCTGCAGTGGGCCGCTGGGAAATGACCCTCACGTCCACGCAGATGGTCCCCTCAGGCCTAGAACATCCTCAGCTAGAGCACTTGAGGAAAAAGCTGTTGTGCTTGAGAAATGTGGGCAGGCTTTTAGCTTACCCCTGTCATGTGAGTCAGAACGGACAGTGGGTTTTGAGGCTGGATGTCACAGGGGAAGGGATTGCCCATCTTTCTCCCACAGAGCAGCTGGGGAGTTTTGAACTATATGTCATTCATCTGGCAGTGCAGTGCCTTGCCACTGAGCCACCAGAGCTGCTTGTTGCTGTTAAGTGCCGTCGAGTCGCAGACGACTCATAGCGACCCTATGAAGGAGAGTCCTTGACGCTTGGGTGCCTTTCATCCTCTCTCCAGGTTCATAGGGTTTCCGGAGGCAAGCTGTTAAGGAAGTGGATGCCACTCCTCCTTCCACGCTTGTTTTAATCGGGAAGCTCCACCTCACTCCACCAGAGCTTAGTTCCTTTTTATATTAGAGATTGTTACATCTTTTAGCATTTACATGAAGTTCAAATGCTCTGCACACACCACACAGATTGTTTCCTCAAGGACAAACCTCCCCATTCTTCCCCCAGTTAAAATTATGTTCTGAATTGGCCCTCCTTTCTCATCTACCTGGCTACCTTGGTCACATTAAGAAAGCATAAATATATATATAATTTTTATATTTTTGTTTATGTGGACTTGTTTTAATTTTCTTATTTTTTTTTTCATCAAATAACTATTTTATTTCTGAGGGTTTGCTTTTGAGTTTGAAAACTCAAGCTAGATTTTAAACATACATTTGAAATTTTTGACATAGACATCAAACTTTGCAAAGAAAAATGAATAATAATTAGAGTCAGTGATTCTTTTGTTGTTGTTGTTGTCAATTATGACTCAGCGACGCCATGAACAGCTGACCTGAACTTTGTCCTCTCCTGTGCCGTCCTCATCATCTCCTGCACACTTGAGTCCATTGCTGAAGTTACCATGTCAGTCCATCTTGCTGGCGGTCTTCCTTTCCTTCAGTGACCCTCCATCTTTCCAAGCATGATGTCTCTTTCCAAGGAATAGCCTTACCTAGCTACATGACCAAAGAATGAAAGATGATGCTTCATCCTCCTTGCCTCCAGGGAGCACTACATCAGCACCTTCTTCATGTTTATTCTTTTGGAAATACAAGGTACTCAGTACACTTCTCCAGAACCACAATCAAAAGACATCAATTCTTCTGTCGTTCTTACTCATTGTCCAGATTTCTGATTCACAGCAGGTGACTGAGAAGACCGTAGAGTGAATCAGTTGCACCTTAGTCTTCAAACTGGCATCATTGTTCTTCAGCATTTCAGAGAAGTCTTTGACAGCAGACTTGCCTGATGCAGTACATCTGATTTTTGACTGCTGGTACCAAGGTGTTGATTGTTGATCGAAACAAGATTAAATCATTCACAGTTTAAATTCTTTCTCCATCTATTATAATATTGACTGTTGGCCCTGTGATGAGGCCCTCTATTTTCTTAATGTTGAGATGTAATCTATACCAAAGGTTGTAGTCCTTGATCTATAGCAAGTGTTCCATATCCTTCTCACTTTCATAAAGGAAAACTGTATTATTTGCAAAATACAGGTTGTTGATGTGTGAATATATTTTTTTTAAAAGGCATAAATAATCAAGAATCCAAACTCTGAATGATATCATCTGAGTGGAATGGGAAACTGCTAGGAAACTTCCAGGGGCTGTAAGATTCCAAAACCCAGTAGGATAGGAAAGGGGTTGTTTTCATCTGGCATGACCTGGCTCTTCCTAGTGATTGATAGATGAGGCAGCATTTCCTTTGGGGAACACCCTACCCTGGCCCCCTGGCAAGTCTTGCACACAGGTTGATGGGGCCCTGGCACACAACCTACTGGGGTGGAACCGAAACAGGAGCCTCTAAGAGGGGGCACTTCAGCCCTGACCCCCGATTCTGCTTCCTACCAAGGCTAACCTAGAAGATTTGTGTACCTCCTGCCCCTAGTTGATGGCCAGTTCCCTATTTTCCACGCCTCTGGAACCAGACAGAACTTGCATGAGGAAGTTTTCAGCATCAAACACTAGGCTGTTGCTTAAAACCTCTTGATGGGCTGTTTACTTTTCTGTAGCTCTGTGCTGTGGAGTCAGAACCCACTTAAACCTGATCCTCCAGTGGGTTTTCAGAGACAGTACATCTCATGGTAGGAGAGTGCCCATCTTTTCTCCTCCAGAGCAGCTGGTGGATTCGAACTGCATACCTTATGCTGGCAGCACAGTTTCTTACCATGAGCCTTTTCCCCCCCTCCTTATGAGGATATTGCCACTTTGTAAAAGAACCTTTTTCTTTTTTCTTATAATTTTATTTTATTTTACTCAAAGAGCCTTCCTAAGAGTTATTGGTTATAATTCAAGGCCAAGCTTTGTAGAAACAAATTTTTAGCTGCTGTGAAAGTGCTGACTAAAGTAAAAAAACCCAGAAAAGCTGATAGCATGGGATATGTTGACCATTGCCAGTTGAATGTTATAATTGCACTAACCATCGGCTCAGCACGTGTCACCTCAGTACCTTCTGTCAGTTGGGTGAACATTGCACAGCCCAGGAGGCCTGGTGACGCTGGAGGCAGCTGACACACAGCTCAGCTGATGGACCTGCCTCAGTATAGTCTTCTCTGCAGTTACTTCCTTTCCTAAGTGTGCATTTCAAAGGCTGATGGAAATAAACTGAAGCCATCCATCTTGACTAACTCTTTATTTTTTACTTTTTCTCATTGGTGTACACAGGCTGACGCGGATAGCTTTTACATGGCATGTAACGGCCGCCAGTTCAACTCAATAGAAGACGATGTTTGCCAGCTGGTCTATGTGGAAAGGGCTGAAGTACTGAAATCTGAAGATGTGAGTGCAAATGACTTTGATATTCTCTGCCAGTGTAGCCAAACTACGTAAGATGGAGTGTTAGGTATTCCCTATTTTACCTGTGGAAACATCCAGAGCAGACCAGTCCATAGAGGCAGAAAGTGGACAAGTGATGGGCCAGAGTCTGGGAAATGGGGATTGAGGACTGACGATGTGGGCTTTCTTTTTTGGTGTGATGTTTGCAATACCTTGTGAATATGCTAGAAAGATCGTCATTATATTCTGGTTTTTTGAAGGTAAAAAGTAAAAGACTTATTAGAAAGTTACAGCCAAAAGGGATGGTGCTCCTGGAAGAGAAGCCATCACTATGTTCTTCTAAATCATGAGTTTTATGTTATGTGAGCTTTACCTCAAGTGTATTAAGTGCCCCAAAATAACATTTTGTTTAGAAAAGAAAAGATGCGTTGTTCAACCTGAGCGTTCACCTATTCCAAATCGGTGAACATTATCAGAAGCGCAAAAGAAGGGCTTGGGGGTTTTTTTGAAGTAGGAAACCTCATGGCCTTCCCCATCTCCATGGGTGACTCTGCTTTGATGTGGCGCTGCCCCTCCTGTGGGAGCTTCCCCTGCGTGGATCCTCAGTCATGTGGTGCAGCAGACACCTCTCTGCTCTGTGCTTTCGTAGTAGACCAGCTTGGTGGGAATAGGTGCTCGTTCTACTGGCCCAGTGTTGTTACTGTGCCTGCCCCGTAGGGTTTCCTGTGCTGTGCTGCTACCAGAAGGTTGACGGTTCTAATCCACCAGCTGCTCAGTCAGTGTTCTGCTGTGAAGGTGTCCAGACGTGGGTGCTGTACTTGTACAGGTGCTGGCTTGGCTTTGACGTTCCGTCTTCACTGGTGCAAGATGCCCAGGTCTTTGGTGGAGCCACGGTGTGGGTTAAATCTTTGCTTAGCAGCCCAGCATTTATTTACCCAGTTCTTGGGGAAATAGTGTGTGTTAAAGGCTGGTTCTGCAGGCTGCACAGCTGCTTTTTCCCTTTGTTTTGTGTGCTGTGAGTATTTGCTCATCGTTTGCATGGGTTACTTGCATGTGAAAACGCACCCCAGGGCTCCCCGTTCTGCCATCAGGCGAGGTAATGAACTCAGATTGGTGATGAGCGCGGGCCGCTTTGATGCAGTGCTGTTCTGGAGACCCTCCAGGTGAACGTGTGCTCAGCGTGCTGCCTCTCAGTGCACGTGCCCTCCCACCTTCCTGCTCACCGTGAGGTGGCCGGTCTCGGGTGAGGTGTGGCTTTCTTTGGAGTGTCTTTTCTGACCACTTACACCAGATCATGCCACCATTTTACCTCGTGCCGTGGATTCTTCCGTGGGCCCTCAAAACCCACACAACTATTAGTGATTTTTAAAAACTGTTTGGTTTTTGTCCCTACATTCTAGGTCCAGTGAGGCAGGGACTGACTAGTGTTTTGTATTGAATCTTTTGATTCAGTTTGTTCCACACCCAGAGCAGTGTCTGACACAAAGCAGGGTCTCAGATGTTTGCTGCCTGAAGAAATGCCAGAGTCAGTGCTGTGGGTATTGTTATCACCAGGTGTTTAGAGGTGAGGCAGCGAGAGCCATCGTGATGTTTGTATCCCGAGTCAGAGATGCTGGTTGTGGTGAGGGTCTGTCTGGTCACACTGTAGTTGGCATCACGTGTGTAGGTCACAGGACACACATGTTGGCAGCATTTTTTGAGTCAGCCCCCCCAGGACAGAAGCCTTGTTTGTTTCATTCACTTCCCCTACAGTGAAGGGAACATGAGGCTGCTTCGGCCTCAGCAGTGTTTGCTGAGTGAGTGAACAGTGTCCCAGTCTGAATGCTGTGGAAAGAGTCCTGTCAACATCACCTTACCGAAAGGCAGAAGGCAGCACAGGAACCGTGAAGTGAGAAGAGAAATGGGAGCTGGCGCTGGAGTGTGCCCCTCACGTGCGCCCTGTCCCCACAGGGCGCCAGTCTTCCCGTTATGGACCTGACCGAGCTGCCCAAATGCACAGTGTGCCTGGAGCGCATGGACGAATCGGTGAACGGCATCCTCACGACACTGTGTAACCACAGCTTCCACAGCCAGTGTCTGCAGCGCTGGGATGACACCACGTGAGTGACTCCACAGGGCCTGCCACCGCCATGCTCCCCTGGCCGGGTGGCCGCCACCAGAATGACCATTACAGGTCCTCACTTGTGTCCACTTGCACACCACGTGGTAAAGCCATTACGCACAAATTCTCCTTCCTTTTCCTTGTGTCCCCTGGGTCTCTGCCGCCTTGGACCAGCATGCTGATTCTGAGTCCTTGTGGAATTTTCCAGAGTTCAGTGAGTTCTTTCTTTCCAAGAACCAGAGCAGATAAAAGGGAGGCATCAGCTTAGTCCTGAGCTCTGTGCTAAACCCAAATCTCCTTTCTCCTCACACTCTGTCTCTGCCATTTACTTGGGCTTTCTTATCAATTGGACTGCAGCAGCATAAGGTTTTAGTTGGTCCAGGCTGTTGACGGCCCAGACGCTAGTAGTGATCACAGTCACTAGTCAGAGGCACACACCTACAGAGCCCTGATTCCCATTTCAGCAGAAAAAGGTCAAATGGAGGCTGTGCCATGTTGTATTCCTATCCAGTGTAATGTTCTCTTTACAAGCTTCAGTGTAACTTACCTCGAAATGTAGACCAGATGCTGAGTTTCACAGCATGTGGGGAAAGATGAGAATCTGTTAATCCCCCAAGTACATGTAGACTTACAGCTCTGAAGAGTCCATGTGCAGCTCTGTGACATGGGGTCAGTCAGCTGAGCTGGCCAAGAAGTGGCCTCTGGGTGTGTGAGCCGAGGATGGGAGGGAGATAGCCAGGAGAAGGGTGAGACTCAGGAGAAGGCCCTGGGCGGGCGGAGGGTACACACAGGGCGGGGAGGGCATTCCTGAGCCCACAAGTTACGAGGAGTGGGGTTCACAGGAGTTGGTCCTTAGCCCACAGTGGCCCGGTGGCTGGATCCCAACTCTGAGAGTGGAGATAGAGTCTCTTTGCGTGTTTGCTACAAGGTACTCAGCTGGCCTGAGCCTGGTCTAGAGTAAGCCAAGACCAGAGAACAGCGCCCAGTACCATAGACTCAGCTCCAGCCACAGTTGCCCTCTTGAACAGGGTGGGGCCATGAGAGGGTTCCTAAGACTCAAAGACTCCCTCTTTGTCCTGCAGAGTGACTTGCGGGTTTACAGTGCCAACCTTTCACTAAGCAGCTAGGTATTGTAACCACTGTGCCCGCAGGGCTCCTCCAGTTCATCCTAGGAAGACTGTGGAACAAACACATTTTCCTTGAGTTTTCTGGATAATGCTGTTTCAACTGGACAGGAATCTTCCCTCCAGTCCTGTGTCCTCAGCCAGTCTGGGCTGACACAGAGTTCTTCAGAGCATCGTCCAGGTTTACAACCTCGGGTAAAACCTCATGAGACTTGTGCACTGCATAGAGTGCTTACCAGGCACTTGTGCGTATCTACTGCCCCTTCCAGACGCTGCTTCCCTGCCACTTCAGTGGTCCTTTGAGGAAAAGGTAGCTGCCAAAGGACCAGAGCATTTTGGAGTAGTTTCCTCAGAGACCATCTTGGCCAGCCTCCTCATTGCAGAGGAGAAAACTGAAGCTGCTTGAGGTGAGCGTTAGCACGCTCGGAGAGGCCTGGCTAGTGGCCAAAACTGGGTCACTGTAAGTCAACATGGACTCAGCAGCTGGGAGTTTGGGTCTGTAGAGCACAGGCCACAGCGTCTGCCCTCAGGAACACATGGTTCCATCCCAAAGCAGATGAGCTTTGGGCCTTTTGTGTGGGTGGTGCAGTGCTTGGTGCTGAGGGGAAGAATCCAACACGGTCCTCCTCGGGGAAAGTCCATCTTGTCACTGAGCGTAATCGGTCACGACCACGAGAGTCAGGAGGGAGGCTGGAGGACAAAGGAGGCTGCCCTGAGGGCTGCAGGTAGGAAGTCTCATTGGCTCTGGGTCTTGAAGGGTGTTGCTTTCAGATGTGGCGATGCTCGCAAAGGGCATCCTGGGGAAGTTTCCTCAGGAAACTCCTGGAGGGAGGAATTCAAGCATACTCTTGGGGAAGGCAGGGAGACTGTAATAAACTCTTGACTTTTTTTCAGTAGATAGAGGTAGATAGACGGTCTATAATAAGAGTCCTGAGTGTACCGTTCTGACTGGGAGCTGGGCGTGGGAATCAACTATGACAGTGGGTGGGCAACTGTCCCACTTTGAGATGCGTACAAAGTAATGAAAATATCCCATGGCTTGAGTTAGGGACACCTTAGTCTTTCAAAAGACAGTCTTCCTCTTTAGCACTTTAGAGAGTGTGTAACTTTCCCAGCAACGGCCAAGCTGTTTTCTAAAGTGTCTGCACCTTTTTACCTTCCTGTGAGCACCATTTGAGCGTTCAGGCAGCTCCAAATTCTCAGGCGAAGTTTCCTATCTACCTGGTTCACAGAGAGCTCATCCCTGCTCAGGCAGGTGCTGGTGAATATTTGTTAAGTGAATGAATATGCTCACCTTGACAGAGGCTGCTTCCTTGCTGTGTGGAGGGACCTGGGATTGTGTCTTGGGCTGAGTGTAAAAGGAGGAACCCAAACAGTTCTAAGAGCATCAGGCTGCAAAGTAACTAACCCCTCATTTCCTGCGTGTCCACCACATGCTGGGTGTAAAACACCCTCCATATGCTTTAAATGCATATCTTTCAGGTGGAGAGAGAGCCAGGTGGGACAAATAGTTCATGTAACTTGCTGTGAGCTGAGAGCCTGGAGGTTCGAGTCCACACAGGTGCCTTGGAGGAAAGGCCTGGCAGTCTTCCTCCACACAGTGCGCCATTGGAATCCCGTGGAGCACAGTTCTGCTCTGCACCCGTGAGGCTGAACCCAGTCAGAAATGACTCAGCGGCAGCTGGCGAGGGAGGAGGTGGGAGACAGCCCGGGAGATGGGTCAGGGGAAGCTGATGCTGGGGATTCCCTGGAGCCCCACCTGCAGTGGGATGCAAGACTGGTCAACCTGGGGCCTGAGCCACTCACGTTTACATCTCAGTAGTGCTGAAATCCACTGAAGCAGAGACTTCCTGCTTCTCCCCATCCACCCGGAGCTATGAGTGTATGAGTTTTTCAATAAATGAAAACTCAAAATACTCACATTACACCAGTGTCTCCATTGCATAATGAAATGTAATGTGTATTTCAGAAGGGACATAAACATTATTTTTTAATTTGATAAAATTTACCACATATTTCCAGCTCTAAAGAGCAGTCTTGGGAGGTTGGTACACTTGGGATGTTGAGATTGGGAAAAATGGACAGGTACTTATTTGAAATAACATCGTATGGATAGCCAGCTGTGAACCCCTGGACTGCCTCAGGCCTCATTCTGACCCTCAGATACTCAGTGCTCGATTAGCCTTTTGACAATGAGGAAGAAAAGGACTTCAGGCCAGCCAAGAGGCCTCATGTCAGGGAGTTCTGGTGGCCTAGTGGCAGGAAGTTGCACAGCAATCCTAGAGGTGCTTGGTTCAAATCCACCAGATACTCTGCTGGAGAAGGAGGAGCAATCTCCTCCTGTACCAGTCAGATCCAGTTTGACAGTACACATACAAAAATAATAAAAAATAAAATGGGAAAAAAAAAGACCTCATGTCCTGTTTATCAACATTTTTGGTTTTTAATTTTGTTTAAAAGTGATTGAACAGTGTTTTACTTTTTGAATGATGTCTGTGGATCTGACCATTTTTAAAAATCTGTTGAAGGGAAGGGAAGCACAGAGTTCGGGGTGTGGCTCTCAGACCTGGTCACCGCTGTCATCCCCGCCTAACCTGTCCTGTTGTCTCTGGTGTCCTGGTAGGTGCCCCGTTTGTCGGTACTGTCAAACACCAGAGCCGGTCGAGGAGAACAAGTGTTTCGAGTGTGGTGTTCAGGAGGTAAGTAGTGGTACAGGAAGAGTAAGGAGCGTGGCTTTCCATCGGCTGCAGTCCTCTCTGTGGGGCTTAAATTCTTACCAGGACAGTAGTTTAAATTCATTTTGGTCCAGCATCAGGCAAGACGGGTGAATGCCCTAATGATTTTACTTTTTAAAAGAAAGACTTTCTTCTCTTATTGTTGCTCCTTGTAAAGCCCGAGGAGCTTTCTCATAAGTTGTGACTGTTTTCCTGATGTTTGCTTAGGGCTCCTTAGAAATCTGAGGGAGAAATGATTTACCTGTAGTCATCCCTGACCGTCGGGCTGCAAACCTGGGTCAGTTTGCCCAGAGCTCAGCAGTTACTCTGAATCTGCCTGTCTGCTCAGACCCCTCTCCACCAGAAGTGGGTCAAGTCAGATGTTCTTTCACTGATAAGATCTCTCCTTCCTCTTGGCAGAACCTGTGGATTTGCTTAATCTGTGGCCACATCGGCTGTGGACGGTATGTGAGCCGACACGCTTACAAGCACTTTGAGGAGACCCAGCACACGTATGCCATGCAGCTCACCAACCACCGCGTCTGGGACTACGCCGGAGGTGAAGCGCCCTCGCGTTCTAAATCGGAATCATTTCTGTATGGAAACTTTTCCTTCGGAACCTCTCCACCTTCCCTCAGTGTGAAATGTCTTCTTGCTGACAGCACAAACTCAGACCCTCACAGGTCCCCTGGGGGCCTGTCACCGTCAGTGGCCTGCCTCGCACACGACACACAGAGCACATGCTTTCACTCTTGCCTGCTTACCTCCTCTCTAAAATCCAAGTGCCTGGGCCCACTTGTAAAGAAATGCTGCCAGGGCATGTCATGTTGATCTCTAAACACACCAGTGGTTCTGCCCGAGTTAACACGTGTGGAGACCCTTTTCCTTCTGAAGAAACAAATTTTGGTTGACCCATTTTTTCCTTTAGATAATTATGTCCATCGACTCGTTGCAAGTAAAACAGATGGAAAAATTGTACAGTATGAGTGTGAAGGTGACACTTGCCAGGAAGAGAAAATCGATGCCTTACAGTTGGAGGTGAGTCATTGCCGTTACCACCCAGCACCTGTTCCTAAGTATGGAGGCGTCTTTTTTCAGTTGTAATGTGAAAGGTTGCCTGGGCTGTTCATTTCCTGGTCACCCATGTGCAGAACTTCGGAAAGTTCTCTCTTTGTTGAAAATGATGATGAATATTCTTCTCTGTCCTTCTGTGTCCATGTGATGTTCCCACTTGTCTCAACTTTAGGCTTATTTATGGTTGTCCTTCGTGGCTGCAAGACAACTTGAACTTAAGAATGTTGTTCCTGGTGTCATGTTGCTGTTGGGTGTGGCGGTGGGGCTCCAACTGCCAGCAGCCTTGTGGGGCTGGGTAGAATAGGGTTTGCTGGGCTGTAATATTTAGGGACGCGCCCTCCGCAGTTGTCCTCCTGTCAAGCAGCTGGTAGGTTCCAGCAGCCATTCTTTCCTGGCAGCCGGACGCTTAACCATTCACCACTAGGCTCTAGCAAGAGACCATGAGCGGACTCCACACAGACCAGCTCGGAATCAAGATCATTCATGCCCGGGAACTTTTTATTATACTCATCATGGGACTCTGATGGATTCCATAAGATGCCTTAACACAAGGCCATATTGTTAGTGTTAAGATGCTCTTGTTCTGTTCTGATTAAAGGTTAGACCCTTTGTGTAGAGTTTTGAGACTAAGGAGCTCCCCATGTTAACTCTGTATGTACGCACCCTGTTCTTTGAGCAGACATTGACTGAGGCTCCCGTGTCCGCTCCTGTCTCGGGCCAGGGGGCGACACCGTACTCTGGGGGAGCACTGAGGAAGCCTGTGGAACCCGCTCTCCCTGGGCGAGTGTGCTGGCCCACACCCTTTGCTGTGGCTGGCCTCTCCCTCTCTTCCCAGCCGCTAGAGTTCAGATCTCTCTTGTCTTCCAAACCTGCCCCTTCCCAGGCCTCAGTGTAGTATTCCAGAGCCTTCCTGCCTCTTCTGTGCTCGTCTCCAGGCTTATCTCTTCACCCTGTGCCCTCCAGTCTCACTGGTCTTCTTCCCAGATAGGAACAGTCACAGCTCTCACCTTGAGCCAGGAGTTCTTTCTAGATTCTGATCACTTTCTTTGTTTCTGCGTCCTGCTCGTCGATGCTGACTCATTCAGTGTGACCTCTAGTGGAGAAGGACTGCTCCTTGGGGTTTCTGAGGCTGTAAATCTGTGCAGGAATACACCACTGACTTTTTCTGCCAGCTGATGGTTTTCACTAGCCCAGTGTGCTGAGTGCTAAGCTTGCTGAGAGACAGAGCAGGACAGGGACAGCTTCCCAGAGGAGAGAAGATGAATGACTAGTGCGAGCTACATTTCTTTTTTAAGAAAAAAAAATTTTTATTTTTTGCATGTGTACCGTCAAATTGGATCTGACTGGTACAGGAGGAGATTGCTCCTCCTTCTCCAGCAGAGCATCTGGTGGATCTGAACCCCATATCTCTGAGATTGTAGTGCAGCTTCTTGTCATTAGGCCACCACAGCTCCCTATCGAGCTACGTTTTATTAGGCTGACAGCAATTCTTCATGCAGTCTGCTTGAACAGAGTACATTTCTGTTTCTTCTCCACTGAGTCCTCATACTCTGGAAATCAAGGATGTGCTGGTCATCTCTGGCCGTCCTGACCTATGTGTTTTGAGTAGAGTGGACCCAAGGTGTCCTCTGAAGCCCCAGCACAGGGCCATTTCTAATTGCAGAGACTGATCACAGCAACTTACATTTGGTTTGTTTGTTTTCTTTGTTTCTAGTATTCCTATTTACTCACAAGCCAGCTGGAATCTCAGCGAATCTACTGGGAAAACAAGATTGTTCGGATCGAGAAGGACACGGCAGAGGAAGTAAGTCTCAGGCGTGACGATGGTGGTGGGGGTCCCCTGCAGCCCTGTGGGAAGGAACAGCTCTGGAGACCTCCCTTCAGCTTCATGGGAAGTTAGAAACCTTGGGTTTGGAGGCTAAGTCTCTTCATGTTTAAGGATTGGGAAGTTGGTTGTTTTCACCTCTAGCAGGTTTTCTTGTGCCTTGTACAGTCTCCTTTTAAAAAACCACAAGTTTCTCAAAGGGTGTGTAATCTGAACCTTCCTGTTGGTTTGCCAGCTTGGGAACAGCTGCTCTGGCGAGGGCAGCATGGCCTCTGGGGCAGCAGACAGCGCCAGGCTGTTCTCCATTTGAGGAAGCCCGACCGGGCAGGCACGGGTGCTTGGCCACCATCCCGCCGCCTGCCGGTCTCTAGGCAGTGGCTTCTCTCTTCCACATCTTCACAAGAGAGTCTTCTAAGGACAGCGTGCATACTCCTCCAGAGTATAAAGGAGGAAAAGGGTCTGATTCCATACAAAGCACCCTGGTCCGTCCCTTTCCCCTTGTCCTCAGGTCCCCAGCAGCCTGTAGCTTTCCAGAGAGGAGAGTGTGAAAGCCAGCAAACTTGAGGTTCCTCTGCGAGTCCATCCTCAGTCCCTGGGAGTGGTGGTTCATTCCTTGCTCCCTGGAGTCTTCAGTAAGCACTTCTTAAATGCTTTAGTAACTTTCCAAGTTCTTACTGCACTCTGGGCTTTCCCCCGAGGAGACAGAAGGCCAGCCCTTCTCCTGTGGTAGCCAGGTGAGCACGCTGCTGACCAGAGCCCTGGCTCTCAGCAAGGCCAGCTCTGGGACCCCATGCCTGGGTGAGTGGGCAGCTGTGCCTGTACACGAGCAGAAATCAGCTGTAGAAGGCCGGGCCTAGTGCTCGCTTTGAAGGGACTGCTCGTCGGACTCTGAGGAAGTTGTTCCCGGAGCCTACCAAGCAGCAGAAGTGTGTTCAGAGGCACTGAGGTCCGTGGACTGCCACCCGAGAAGGGCTTGCTCCCCCGAACACTCGCTGGAGGGACTGTGAGCACTGCCACTTGCTGGGAAGATGTGGTCTCAGAAACTTCAAGACTCCACGTCCATGCTTCCTGCCAGCTCTGGAGTTAAGCTCCGAATGCTGCCTGCCCTTTCTAGGATGAGCTGTGTTGCCTCAAATATGCTGATGGGCAGGAAGCCGAAACCAGAACGAAGCACATGGTCCTGGAGTCCAGCTCCCAGGAGCCATAGAGGACAGGGGGACCGGCCCACGGGGCTCCTGCAGCTGTGCGTCGCACCCCAGCTTTCTCCTGTGGGGCAGCTGGTGGTCTTTTGGGTAGCGGCCAGGTGCTGTACCTGCTGCTCCAGCCGGGCTCCTCAGGAAAGCTGCGTCTGTGCCGGGCATATGTGCTTTTCTGTAAATGAGATGGCGGCGAGGGGCAGCCATGCCCGGACAGCTGGGGAGTTGGAAAGGGGCTTTTGTTCTCTGATAACAAATGCTGTTTATCCAAGTGACTAGGTTTTGTGAGCCTTTGGTTCCTGCACTGGCCTCCCTTCTGAGCAGCCCTCTGCCCATCCACCTCTGGCAGTGGGTCCATCTGGGCAGAGACAGTAATCAACTCCTTCAGGGGCCTTGTGCACATGAGTATGGGGGTGGGACTGGGAGAGAGATAAATTCATGCTGGGTCTGCCAAAGATAGCATGAAGGTATGCCTGCCCTGAGCCATTGTGTTTTCAGTCAGGTCAGGTGCATCCATCACACTGGACTGTGAAGAGGCAGGGCCACAGAATTGATGCCTTAGGATTATGGCTTTTGAAAATTACGACCTACAAAACCAAACAAATGTTTCTTGGAAGACCCCCAGACTGCTCCTTAGAGGATGGAGAATGCCTCACATCCTCTTTGATCATGAAGGGCTAATCCTTGAGAAGGGCCATCTTGCTTGGGAGAGGGTCAGTCAAAGAAGAAAACCCGTCAGTGAGATGGATTGACGCAGGGGGTGCAGCTTGGAGCTGTAGCACAGCAGGGTTTGTGAGGATGGCGAGGGCCTGGGCAGCGTGCGGTTCCATCGCACACAGATCATATCAGAGCTAACTCGGCCCCCCTGCCCTCAGCACCACCAGCAGCAACGCCGTAGGTGGTATCATGACTACACATGTGAGCAGAGTTGGACAGTGCGAGGCCTTCCTGCAGGGCCTTCGTTTTCTGAGGGCATGGACACTGTAGGTGGGCATTACAGGTGAACGAACTCCTCTAAGGACAGACCTTTTCTCGTCACACTTCTGGCTGAATTTAAATCCATATTCATCCTGGAGAATTGGAAATTAACTTAATGGGTTACAAAGGACATTTTTATTAATTAGGAAAACTGCAAAGTGTCAGAATTGATGACATTGGGTGTTTTGTGAGACTCGCTTTAGTTCGTCCATGTGTGTATTGTGTTGTTGTGTACTAGATGTTTCTTACTCTGGACTAATGGTTAGAAATGCTTCTAAAAAAACCAGTAAACCTCTGTGCCATTGGCCTCCTGCAATCCTGCAAACACTCTTCGGTTGGTTAGTGTGTTTCATCCTGCTGTACGTGGATTTGTCCCCTGGAATCCTGCAAACACTGTTAGGGTTGGTTGGTGTATTTCATCTGTTGTATGTGTGTCTGGTTCAGGTACAGTTTGTTTCCTTTGGTGGTCATTTCTGCCCTTCCTTACAGAACTAGAAATTGGTTCAGAAGAAAATGTCCACAGGTCTAGTGGTCTTTTATTTTAAAACAATATTGAAGGAAAATATGGATGCCAAACTCGAATTTGAGCAATTTCATAGCATTTGGTTTTTGTGTTATAGGGACATTTTTAGAAATCTCTCTTAGCTTGCAGGTTCTCCTAACTTAATGTAGCTGACTATAAGGTTACTTTCTATAAGGAAATTATTCTTATGAATAATATCAGTGCTATAGAGACCTGCTCATACACATGGAATATATTTTTAAGAAGAATCAAGAGTGGCTGAGCTGAACAATGAAATCGGCAATTACGGAAGGAGAATTCATGCGTTCAAGTCGTGATGTTGGCAAAGATTGTGGAACATACCTGGGACTGTCATACTACCCACCAGCAGAATGAACTGGTCTGTCTAGGAGACAGTAGAGGCAGAACCCTTCTTGGAAGCCAGAATGGTGAAACGTCGTCTCAAGAGACCAGTCAGTTCTTGGAGAAGACATCATGCTCAGGAGGTCCAGGATGTGTGGAAGGGTGAAGTACCCTCGCCGGATGGACTGGCATAGTGGCCGTGAGGCTGGCACAGGGCCCAGGCAGGCTTGCTGTGAGTTGGACTTGACTCAGCAGCACCCGATGGCCTGAGTAGCTGGCCTTCCTCTGGGCTGGTGGCTGCTGCCTCTTGACCAGCAGGTCTCTGCTGAGGGTCAGTTACAGCTGCCGCTTCTCCTGCTGAGAGAGACCTGCAGTGCGAGCAGCGTGGGGACCTCTGCTGTGAACCCTGCGTCCCAGACCACCACACTCCAGCTGGATGACCTTGCTGGCCCCCTTTTGGCTAAGCTTCACTTTTTGCCGAATGCTGACTGACTAAAGTCAGGATTCTTCAAGAACACCCAGCCAATTTCAGGGCCGTGGGGTTGACATTACTCTCGTTCCTGTTCCACTGCCATGTGACCGGCCAGCTCACCACCCTCTCCTGCCTCCTCTTCTCCCAGTACCCTGGGACCAAGGCAGTGGGCCCTTCCCACTGGGTGAGACTCAGTGTCTGCTTGGCTCCAACAGACAGCATGCTCGACACTAGGATTGCTGCTTTCGGATGCCTAGTACACCAGTGTTTGTACTTTCTTTAACTCTGAACACTGTCAGAGAGTAACGTATATAATAGTGAAGCCCTGTGGTGCTCAGGATAAGCACTCAGCTGACTGCTAACGAAAACGTCAGTAGCAGAGAGACGAGGTGTTTACAGCTGTGGGAACACCATGGAGCAGTTCTGCTCTGTCTCCTTGGGCCACAGTCTTGGCGTGTGGGGGCGTGTGTGAGAGAGAAGGTATTTATGAATAAGCAGAACAGAGTTATGTTCCATATAGCTTTGTGGCACGTTGGAAAACTAAGTTTGACACATTTGAAGCCACCATCAGGATTTCCTCTGATTGCCTGAGGCTGGTGCTTATGGGCCACTGTCGGGAGTGACAGCGAGTCTAGATGGGTGGCCTGGCTAGCCCCGGAACCCAGTTGTCCCCTGTGCCCATACCCAAAATGCTGTACCTATGAGCAGTTTCACTTGTTCAGCAGCTCCAGGTCCTCTGTTCCCAAAAGGACAGGGGAGTGAGAACAAGCCTTTCCCCGTCCTAGCCCTGTGGGTAAGTGCCAGTGGTTGGCGCACCTTTTGTAAATCTGACTTGTCAAAGTTATTAATAGGAGGGTTTGTGAAATGGTTATCATGGTATCCCCAGAGAGCACAAAACTCCTCTGTTAAATGTGTCGGATTCTTTTTGTATTTTTAGATTAACAACATGAAGGCCAAATTTAAAGAAACCATCGAGAAGTGTGATAATCTAGAGCACAGACTGAATGATCTTCTCAAAGAAAAGCAGTCCGTGGAGAGAAAGTAGGTATAGTTGGAAGCTGAACGTTTTACTAGAGAGTCCATGGACAGATCTTAGCCTTCTTTCCTGTGGAGACACCCACATTCTCACACGTTGCACTTCTTGGTCTTCTCAGTCTCCACATATCTCCTGGGACTTGCTGCTGTTTACTAGAAGAGGTGTTTGGAGCCAGAGAGATGCCCGGCTAACCAGTGCTCAGGGCTCTGGCCCTCCTGAGCCCTGGGCCTGAGTGCTGGCAGTCAGGAGGGAGCCAGCCCAAGCTGTAGGTGGCATGTAGGCATCCAAGGCCACAAACCCCAGTGACCACTACCAGGGGGATGGGGAGGAGGAGGAGGAAGTTCAGACTTATGTGATTTCTTTCATTGTTAAGTAGTTCTAAACTATTATAAAACCTCACTAGAAATGAAAATGGAAACCTTTCCTGCCAGCCCCATGACACACTACCTTGTGTTAAGAAGTCAAATCTGAGAGTCCCGTTTCCCATTCTTCCCTCCCCACCTTACAGATCCTGCTGTCTAGAGAGAGCTGTAGTTAATCCAGGCAACTGAATAATTATCCTTCCAGATTCTGTCTCCATGCACAGTTCATATGCATAATACTACTTCCTACTAACTAGTAATGCTAGTGTTTTATGGAATTGAATATAGTTACTAAACTAGATAGTATAAATATATTGATGTTTGTTGTACTATTGAACTGTTGTTGAGTACACTCAAGTTGGAACCAACCCATAGCTGACCCTCCAGCAGGTTTTCAGAGGCAGTAAATTGCACAGGAGGAGATTTCTTCTTCCGCAGAGTAGCTGGTAGATTTGAACCGTGTGCCTTTGGGTTGGCAGCATAGCTCCTTATCACGAAACCACCAGCACCTTCTACTAACTCTGTTAAATATATGTATTTGCCATATATTAAGTACTTATATTGCATTTAATGTAGTTATCCTGTTCTTGTAAAAACACACAGCCATGTACAGCCATCTTGTTCTTATGCCCACAGCCAAGACCTGCAGCCTTAGGGAGGGATTGCTTCGAGGTGGCGCATAGAGGCCTGTGGGCAGGCTGTGTGGAGTCCCCCGAGGATCTGAACGAGTTCCCTCGTGCTGGACATGTAGGTCGTGTCTCAAGCATTAGGCTGCAGTGTTGCTGTCAGCAGAGATCCCTGGGGCTTTCTGCCTGGCTTTCCCCACAGTCCTGAATGTCCGAGAGAGTGAGTTCTCAGGAGCAGAGTAGTGGGGTCAGGACTCGTGGAGTTGGGTTTCAGAGACAGCGCCCAGTTGGCTCTGGAGAGGCTGCCCGAGGCATGTTCCCTGACCACGGAGGGAGCTTCTTTCCTGCTGTACTCTCGGCATTCTGACGGATGGCAGCAGCATCCCAGCCAGTGGTTTAATCTGCCACGCTTGGCTCCCAAGTGTCAGGAACGGGCCAGTCGCAGTGGAAACCCTCTGGTTAGTGTGTATTCCTTCATTAACAAATGCAGGTCAGAGGCTAGGACTCAGAATTGACCTGTCCCCCATAGGCCCTCATAGCCCTCATCAGCCACTGCCTTGGCAACAAGCGAACATGGGATGTTTTTACCAGGGCTCATACAGAACAGTTGCTGCGGAGAAAAACCCTTGGGTCACCGAGCTCACATAGCAGAACCGTGCCCCTGGGCCTGGGGGAGAGGAGTCTGCTCGGTGAACCTTGCGGTCCTGACTCCTCTGGTCATTCTCAGAGCAGAAGGAGGACCCTGCCCACAAATGAGAAAACGTGTTTTGTCTCCCTTTGTTTTGCAAAAGGTGCACCCAGCTAAACACAAAAGTAGCCAAGCTCACCACGGAGCTGAAGGAGGAGCAGGAAATGAACAAGTGTCTGCGCGCCAACCAAGTCCTCCTGCAGAATAAGCTCAAGGAGGAGGAGAGGGTGTTGAAGGAGACCTGCGACCAGAAGGACTTGCAGATTGCCGAGATCCAGGAGCAGTTGCGGGACGTCATGTTCTACCTGGAGGCGCAGCAGAAGATCAACCACCTGCCTGCCGAGACCCGGCAGGAGATCCAGGAGGGACAGATCAACATTGCCATGGCCTCGGCGGCCAGCGCCCCCTCTTCAGGGAGCAGTGGCAAGCTGCCCTCCAGAAAGAGCCGCAGCAAGAGGGGCAAGTGACCCTCAGTGAGCACACATCCCCAAGACTGTTCTCCTTGGCCCCTTGTGGGCATGCTGGGACTCAGCCCCAGGTGAGGGTGGACCCTAAATAAGTACACCAGGTGAGGATCCCGCTGTGGTGGTCTGGCCCTTTTCTTTCAAGCGCGGGGTTTGATAGAGCAGGCTGCCAGCCGGCGGCTGGGAGAGCTGATTGATGGCTGTGGGCTGTGGCTCCAAGGTGGCCGTGTAGCTCACGAACCTCAGATGTCCTGACGACCGTTTTGCCTTTCTCCATGTTAGAGGCCCCAATTCTGCTGTGCATTTGTCATGTTGATTGTCTTGGTATATTTGACGCTATCCAGAGGTTGGTTTACGACGTTAATTATTTGGGTTTGTTCACTGCAGAGGTCACATCCCTGGCACTCATACCCAACCTCCCTGAGGCTTCAGCAGCTGCTCTGAGCAGCAGTTCTGCGAGAGACTGAGGCATTAGGAATGTTTCTAGTGTCAGTCTTCTGTCACTTGGCACCCACCCTGTTCCTCTGGGAGTTTGAATTGTTGGGGTTCTGCAGAAAGAGACAGGGCTGGTGAATCAGGGCTGGCTTGTCACCAGCAGCATCCCTTCCAGTTAGTTCCTGGGCAGAGTTGATCCAGTATCGTGGAGTGTGTGTGTGTGGGGGGGGGGGGTTGTGTGCGCAGAGCCACTTTGTTTATCTTTGGGGGTCTCCACACCTCCTTTGGCACTTCAGATCAGGGGGCTTGAGGGTTGCCCCAAGTCTCCGATCTTAGACAGGATCAGTGAGTAGGATCACCCTCTCTGTATGCTGAAGAGGCTGCAGACCTGCTGGCGGCCTCTTTCGCTGGGACCAGTGCTTTCTGGATGTTTCCAGAATACTGGGCTGTGTGTGCAGTGTGGACCCTGGCAGAGGACACTGGGTGGACTTCCCCTCATGCTTTCAGGCCACCAACCAAAGGCTGTTCTGCAGTGTGCCTTGAGGATTGTCTCAGGCTCCTTTCAGACTCTCAGGCAGTACTTGGACCACCAGAGGAAGTATAGACATCTCCAGCCCAAGCGGTCCCATCATTTGTCATGTGCAGAAAGTGTGCCACCTGAAGACCCGTGCTGGAGTTTAACTCCCAGGAGAGATGACTGGACCGACTAATGAGGCATTCTGTTGAATGGGGTGATTTTTTCTTCCTTGATAATTAGCCAGAGTTTCACGATGATCACATTTCAGAGTTATCTTTTAGCCTGGAATTGGGCCTTACTCCTTTTGATCTGTCTTACATGCAACTTTCTAACAACACTCCCCACATACATTTGACATTCGTCACTGTCCATTTCTATGGGCTGAGGGCCGCATCTGAAGTACCTCCCCTTACCTGTGCAAATGTATTCACGTGCTCTCCAGCTCCGCACAGGGCAGCCCCACGCTGGGGCCCATGTACGGTGTGTGTGAGCCCGAGTGGGGAGGTGAAGTGGAAGCTAGTTGTCTTTCCTATAGAGATTCTATTTTATTTAAAATCTATTTTTACACTTGTTAGAGTCCTGCTCTTGCATGTCTGGCCTTGCAGAAGCTGGGGTTGGAATAGCATACAGTGAACAGAGTTGGAAGTGCTTTACAGAGCAGCCTCCCTCAGCGGCTAGAGAGCGGGTTTTCGGTGCAGGTGAGGTCAGTAGTAGAAGGCTGCCCCAGAGGGACCAGCACAGAGGCACAGCTTTCCAGGCTACTTGAAAGTTAAGGAAAACAGGCAAAAATTTCAAGATATTAAAGATGCTGTCAGTTTTAGTTTGACTTTTTTTTTTAATTTTATTTTTTGTGTGTGTGTACCGTCAAATTGGATCTGACTGGTACAGGAGGAGACTGCCTCTCCATCTCCAGAAGAGTATCTGGTGGATTCGAACCACGTACCTCTGGGATTGCAGTGCAGCTTCTTGCCACTAGGCCACCAGAGCTCCAGTTTCACTTTTTTTAAGACAAGGTCTCGAGTCTTGTGTTTGAAATTGGCCAGGACGGTATAAGATCCAAGCTGTTAGTGTTTCCTTCAGGATAAAATGAACCAATTGACATACCCAGACTACCTGGAACAATGAAATGACATTAAAGTAACCAAACTTGGAAACCTTCTGGCCGGTTGTGAAATTTGTGTCTCTGACGTCTGTAACATTTGCTCCAGAGAGTAGCTGATAAGGCAATGTCCTGGATCAGAAAGAAACCCAGAGGTCAGCCTCAGGGTAATAGCGTGAGCAGCCTGTTTGCTCCAACTTCCCAAACTACTGAGAAGTAGCTGTGCCAGCTAGAAAGTAGGCGAGAGTCCTGAGTGTGGAGGCCGAGCAGGCCGAGGGCCAGGCCCAGCACTCAGAAGCGGGAGTCGCCCTTCTGCAGTCTTGACTCCTTCCCAGGCGCTGCCCAGCCGACAGTTACACTGGCAGTGTTACAGCGGTGACCTTTAGGGATACGGTAGCACAGTACACCAGCTCCCCTCCCAGCCTGCTGGCAGCACACTTACCTACTTCCACAGCTAACAGACTGAGCGCTCCTGCACATCCAGCCTGGAGACCCGGGATCGTGGCCTGCAGTCAGCCGGAGAGCCTGCCACGTCCAGCCTGGAGATCTAGGATCACCTGCCGGCCCTGGGAAATGGCCCCCATCTGCAGCACCTGCCCATGTGACGAGGCTCAGGCTTGTGTGGGTGGCGTTAGCTCATGTGAGGAAGCCGCTCTGGGAAGGTGCTGGGCAGCATGGGCATCTGCCGCCGAGCTTTCTGTTGGCAGCAGAAGGGACACGTTCCACTTTGCAGACTCTGAGGAGGCTCCATGGTGTCAGGGTCCACCTGATCTTCCCAGAGACCCAGCCAGCCATCCCCTTCAAGTCTAGGAAGCCAGTGAACTTAGGTGTACCACTAGCCAAGGCTTTTCGTTCTTGCCTGGAAAGCCCTGTGGGATGCGCTTGCTGGCCTGTCTGCAGAGGGGCCACTCCAGCAGATGTTTCTAGCTGCTGTCAAAAGCAGCCTATCTGCACCCTATCCTATCCTGTGCCATCTTCATCTCTGACACACTGGAGCCTGGAGCTGCAGTTACTGTGTCAGTCCATATTGTTGAAGGGTGACAGTGCATTTCAAATTATTAAAGAGTGAAGAAGTAACAGGGATAAAAGGCTTCCTTCCAGAACTGCTCGAGGGCCCCAAGTGTCTAGGCCATCTGTCTTCCTTCTGCAATGAAAGGTGATTGTTTGTTTTCCTCCGCAAAAGCTGGACTGTTGTCTGCCTGGGGCAAATGAAGAAACACTGCATTTGTTTGTGAGGAGACCCCCAGGCCAAGCTACACAAGGCAACTTCTCTTGTATTCAGGGGGTATGGGGGCATCAGTAGCACACTGGTTAAAGCTCTGGGCTCTAATGGAAAGCTCAGAACCCACCAGCCACCCTTGGAGAGAAAGATGAGCCGTCTGTTTCTGGGAAGATGGCCCAGGGAGCCTTCTGGAACAGCTCCAGCTCTGCAGTGCCGCCAGCAGTCAGAGTGGGCCCCACGGCACCGGCTTGACTTTGGGCTGAGGTGGACAGAAGGAGGCCCCCTTCTTTCACATTAACGCCTAAGCAGCTTGTATTCTCTTTCAGCGGTTGATAGTATCTTCTCTACCTTGAATGTCGTAAACTCCAGGAACACTTGTGAACACTTCAGACAGTAATTCTGCGGGCTGTATTTCCAAGACACCAGAACCTAAGTGATCATCCTAGCTGGTATCCTGTTAATGGGCATTGAGTCAGAACCGTCAAGCTCACTGCTATCAAGCTGGAACTAATTTATAGATGACTCTCCAGCATATTTTCAGAGACTGTCAGTCGCACAAGAAGCACTCGCTCATCTCTCATGGACCCTCAGGTGGACTTGAACTTGTGGGGGAGCACTGCAGCCCCCACAGTTGTGCCACCAGAATTTCGCCGTCATCCTGCGCTCCCAGAACACGAGGGGGCTCTGCAGAGGTTTCGTCATTGGGACTTTACCATCATGCTGTGTCGACAAAGGCCTGGAAGATACAGGAGATTGATCCTCTTGTCCCACAGACTGCTTCGGGGCCCTGATGTTGATGCTGCAAGTAAAAATTACCCCTGGAGTCCCCTGGGAAGCATGTTCTGGACACTTTGCAAGGAGCCACAGTGCAGGGACCATTTGCCACTCCAGGGCTGATTGTCATGTCACTCTGAGCCAAAGGTAGCTTATTTCCGGACTGTCTTCACAATCCCCAGCGCAAGATTTCTTTCCATATAAACCCAAGATTGCCTTCCCAGAGTAACCTCAGAAAAGTGCCTCCATGACGGGGAGCTCAGCCAGTGAGTAGAGCACCTGTGTGCTCAAGGAACAGGAAAATTCACAAGCCTGTGTTAACATGAGTCTCCTAAAGGTACCACTTAGTGTTGGTGTGAGCTATGTGTATAGACACGTTGCCTGTGAAAAATCACAGTATTGGACCCAAAGTGAAGAGGGCTCTGGTGGCCCAGTGGGTAAGAAATTGTGCTGTAAACCCAAAAGCAACACCGTTTGAATTCACCAGCTGCTCCAAGGGAGAAAGGTGAGCAGTCTCCTACCGGATTCACAGCACTGGAGGGTCAGCTGCGTGTGGGTTCCAAGTTGATAACAACCCGGAACCCAGGATAAATTCACTCCAGGAGAATGAGACTGATGGGGCAGGTAAGAGCATACCTGTAGCGCTGAGCCTCCACACCTCAGTGCTAGGAGCTGCCCCTCACCATCTCTCTCCCCAAAGAAGCAGCTGACCAAATGGCGGTCACGGTCACGTTTGTTTTGGCATTTAAAACACTGGAACCCAAAGAGATCCACCCCACTTGGTGGTATGAATCCATCCACCTTCTGTTTGGTTGTGGCTCCCTTCTCCTGGACACACTCTTAACCTGCACGGTGCACTCTCCGACCTGTCACCTGTCCACCAGCCAGAGGATCCTCCAAGAGCGTTCTCCAGAAATCCTCTCTTAGGAAAGGCCCAGCATTTGCTGCAGCTCACACACTTAATGGATCAGTTGATGCTCCCCCTGAAGCTGTGAACCCCGCAAATCTGCAAGAAGCACCCCTGTCAAAAGCCACCTCCCTACCCCTCATGTGCTCGGGCTGGGGTGCCGGAAGGGGTGGGACTCTGTG